CCCTTGCGGCGACTGTGGGAAAAGACGTTGTTTCTAAACAGATGTGGTGAGACACAAAGGTGACGGGGCATTGCTGAAGTCAGCTTAAGTCACAAGTTGCAAGGATTATTCCACTATTGCCATATAGATCGATGCACAGTTACAACTAGACCTAGCGCAGCATGAAATGATATAGACATACATAGACTAGGACACATAGGTCGCACGCATGATGGCCCATGATGGCTGATGGCCCAATGCACAACAAGATGCCCCATCTCTTTGGCACTGCACATTTTCCAGGCTGAAGCCAGCTCGACAGATTCCACTGCGGGTTTTCAGAGTGCTGAACTTAGCAAGAACAAGATGAACAAGGGTGCGCGCATTTTCTCAGCAGTATTTTTCATTCTACTGTAAGTCCGAAGTAATTAAAAATTCTGCAAGAGAACGTGTTGACTTGAACATACTGGACACACTTGTTGCCATGGCCGATCGCCATTACTTGTGTTTCTTGTCAGATACAGCGTCTCGTTTAGCTCAGGCACTTCTCGTGTGCGCTGCCGCATCCCAGAGACTTCTGCATTAGGAACATGGCAGGCGTCAGCCCGCTAGCCTGCTGTCATTTTCGCCTCTGGACTTCTCGGGACTTCCGTTTTGTAGCTCGAAAGTATTCTAAAACAGCTACCCTTGTACTGAACTTGGAGGTTGCACCGCATCTCCTCTCAAACGAGCGGGGCAGGTTGGTGTGCTCAACTACGATTCGCTTTTCGCAGTGGCTCAGAATTTTGTGCCTTTCCAGGTGCCTCAAACATGCAGGGTAAGTGCGGGCAGTGGGCATGGCTAATCATGTCCAAGCAGCAAACAGTTTTGGAGAATCCTTATTATGTAGCCAAGGTAGCCTGACATGTCATTGACACATGTAGACATTGCCAAGTACTGTGCCACCTTGACTTTAGCATTCTGGGGATGTGTGAAGTGGGTCGCACACAGGTGTTGCAAAAGTCGATCGTCGGCAGAGTGTCGCCGAATGCTACGGCACTTGGAAGCAACACACCACTTGTACTGCACTGACCTTAGCATTCGCCACAGTGAGCCCCGTGTTTGATGGGAGTCGATAGAGTGCCTGGCCTACCTTGCAAACACCTTGCAGGGCTTGAGAGCTTCCCCAAGCTGAAAGCTATGCTATGCAAAATGCTGAAAGCTATGCTTTGTTGCATCACTCATCCATGTGATGCATGTGCCACACCCAACCCGAGAAATCAGAGGTACGGTGGACCTTTGGGAAGTCTCTTGAGGGAGACAGAAGGTTCCAGGCTCTGTGGTGAAAGAGTAGGGTCCGGGTTTCCGACTGGTGCAGTGCAAGAATGCAAGAGGTGCTTCTTGCTTTTTGAAGCACATCACATCATCTCACTCCAAAAACATTCGAAAACCATCAAACACCAAACTTGATAAACTTGAGCTTGATCGCAACAAGTGATCGCAAGCGATCGCAAGCGATCGCAAGCGATCGCAAACCAATCCTGACTCCGTGAGCCACGCTATGCCACGCTCAGATGCGTCTTCCAGCCTGCTGGATTTGATGGAGAGGCGGAATCGACTCCCTGGGCTCGGAAGCCAAGCAGGAGAACGGAGCGGACGGCTGACGGCAGCTGACGGCAGCTGACGGACGGCTGATGTTAGTGGATGGGGATGGAGAGACTGCCTTGTGTTGTTATGATTGTTGTGTTTCGAAATTTCATGAAATGTTTCATGACTGTGACAACAGCAAGGAAACCTTTCTGAGTCGTGATTTTTTTCAAGGTCTTGGACAGTCAGCGCGTAGCCTGTTTTCCACCAACGATTCCTGGACTTCCAGACGGGCGCGAGGCCAGAGTGGTACCTCTTGGTAACATGTAACAAATTGTAGTAATGTCAACCCCGGATTAATAAACCATGGTTTGTTAATTAGGGGGTACTCCTCCAATAGTCATAATCTAATACTTAAATGGTACCCTCCCAATTCAACAGCCCAGGGGTTTATTAATCCAGAGTTGACATTAACATGAAACATGTAAATGTAACCACTATTGATAACTAATAGCTACCGTAACTTCCGTCCCCAAAACCGGTGCTTTGGCCGACTTTTGCTCGTTTGTGGCTTCTAGGATTGGTTGCTTCATAGGATCTACACGCAGGTACCACAAAGCCATGGTGTCAGGTGAAGATCACCTTGAGGATTCATGGCACTGCCTTACCATCGGAGGCACCTTGAACGTCACGCGCAACAGGGTCTAACTGCCACTTTTCACAACTGGTGGAAATTGAAGCAAAGATAAGCAAAGGAGGTGGATGCGTTTTTGAGCACAATCTGAGTTCTTTCTCTGATACCTTGGGGTATTTTTTCTGACATCGTATGCTCAGGTCTCCAATGTTTCCATGCGGATCAAGACATGACATGATGCATTTGTTTGATATGTTTTGCTCAGAGCGCTCCTGAACAAGGCATCGTTTATGCTGTACCCACAGCGGCAGCTCTTCACCGTCCCATTGGGAGGACCCCCAATGCGTGTAATTGCAAAACAGATTTGAAGAAACCAAACATAACAACATAAACATACATAAACATACATAAATCATAAACTAATATTACTCATACTCTTTGCGATACAACTTGCATAAAAACATGCGACACACACACACACACATGCAGAGTGTTCGTGACAAAGAGCTGGGCTGAGACAAAGCTTTGAGCATGGTTGCTACTGGTATGTGAATGTATCAAGCACAGTATTGGGATAGGTGAAACCTTCTGCTTTCTCAAGTCATCTCAAGGTTTTTATCGGGCCACTGGCACGTCAGGAGAGACCACATCGTCAAATGTGAAGGTGCAGGTTTTGGCCTAACTTTCCCAGCCTGTGCTGTGCTGATGTGGATTCAACGCAACTGCACAAGTGAAACGCAGCAGACAGTCTGACCTGCCATAATCTACCCTCTGGTTATGTCAAAATAGCTATTGAAAATGACCATTAATAGTGGATTTTCCCATTAAAAATGGTGATTTTCAATAGCTATGTTAAATTACCAGAGGGTACAATACTTCATCATTGTTATGCTGAGTGGCTTTGGTCTTTTCCTGAGTCGGATTGACCTCGTTGTTCTGAGGTTGGTTTGGTCGGTCAGGACTGCTTTTGAAAGCCTCCACTGTGGCTGTGTTTTTGCAAGTCAAATGGTTTATACCTTGCATTTTGATGCATTTTGATTCAAATTGCAACCCATTAACAGAAGTATGTATGTGCGACAATCTGCACCCCACAACTTCAATGAAGGGTTCCAGCATGAATTCTTCGGAGGAGATCAACATGCCAACTTTGCCTGTGCAGCTTCTGGCACAAAATACGCAGTTCCAAGGGCCAGTCTTGCCAGCAAGTTTGCAAAGAACTGGCGACCAGTTTGGACTAGCTTTGACCAGCTTACTTTCAAGATTCTCACCTGTCATAGATATCATAGATGGTCACGCTATTGCATTTTATCATATTTTAATACATATTTTTTTAAATCCAACTTTAGATAACCTGAATGTCCAAATCGTGGCCAGTTGATGCAACTTGATGCAACTTGATCCAAAATTGAAACGGACATTTGCATCACACGGATGTCTCGTCACAACAGGCGCAGGTGAAATTCTGGGTATCGCCGACGAACTACACGCCGTCTGCTTGCCCAGTTCCAGAATCTTGCACCAACACACTGTAGAAATCTGTAGAATTACATAATATTGTTAGATCCGACTTCCACTATATAGTCACTATATAGTCACATATAGTCACTATATACACTGTCATTGCCGTTTGTTGATGGCCAAGCAATGAACATGGAATACGGCTTGTATGACACTGCGACAAGCCTTGTCTTCAAACCGTACAAAGCAAAACCAAAACACTCTGGAGCGGACAACATGACGCTGTCAATCAATCTCTATGTACATTAGAGGCTACATAAATGGCTATCAAGCTGTACATGGCCACGACATAGTGCCCAGCAGAACTCAGCAGACCAAAACTAAACATGCAAATGTAGTGCGGGAAAAAGCAGGGAAAAGATTGCCACGGAGCAGAATCCGTTTTCTTGACCAAAGGGAACAAGAATTGTGTCCTTGATTGACTTGATTGGCACTACACAGAGGTGGATGTAGCCACGTAGCATACCCGAGTCATTCTAGAGGATTCGTTCAACCCCGCAAAAACGTACCTTGTTGCAAGATCTTATGCAATGCAAAGAATTCAGTGCACGTTGCCTGCAGGCCGACCAATGGCACTCTTAGCTTGGTGGAAATTCCTCTCGCGGAGTTGGCGATCCCAGGGACACGGAGAGTCATGCTTTGCGAAGGGCACACCCTGGCACCAAAAACATCAAAAAAAGTGAAGAAAAACTACAGCCTTCGCGGGGAGAAGACAACAGAGTGGAAGAAATTCAGCAACTTTGTAAACTCAGCGCAAACCAACTTAAAGGCTACTGTATGTCCACTGGTATGCCGCTGGTCTGTGAATTGGAAACAGCTGCTGAGCATTTGCAGCGAAGGTTGCGTCCTTTGCTGAGCGCTCCAGTGGTGGACTACTCCGTCACCTTTCCGCCCGGTATGATGTCAGACCTCTCAGCAACTGACAACCCTTGGACCCATCCAATGAATCCTAAAAGGCAAACGATATCTATCAGCCAGCCTAGAATCTAGGCCGACCAATAGATATCGTTTGCCCATAATTATGCTGCTAGTAGCTAGTGTTGATGGAACCTTAAACCACAACCATCACGAAGTTTTGCAGTATGTACCGGTCATTCAGAAGAGTATCACTTCCAGTTTCTTAAATGGAATGATCAGAACACGCCTTTTTTTTGCAGTGTGCTCACTTGAGTGAAGACTATGAAATTCTGACGACTCTTTTGCTTCTTTGATGTCCATTTATATACACATTATATTATCTCTTTCCGTTCAGATTCCTTTGATCTTTGTGATGGCCTTTGCTTGTGGATTTGATCAAAACTGCATGTCTTTAGCACGTTTGGCCCCACAGCCGCACCTCTCCGTGCTCGACATGCAAGGGGTCCTGCCACGTCCGGGACTCCATGTACCTGCGACCCCACCATGCAGCAGCTTGATTTGCAGTGCTGTCGCCTTGGAGCCAGATGGATCGTTGCCTCTGGTCTCCGCTTGTCTTTTAGGCTATCGATGGATGAAGCGCCCTGGTCGCCGAAGCCTGCAGCGGATCGCAACGCTGCAAGTTGCGACTGTTGCAACTCCGCCTCGGATTGATCCGCAGATCGCCGCAACTTTTTCGCAGACCTTCTTTTTTTTGCCCTTCACAGCAATGCAACCGATCATTCCTTTGTTGGTTGCACAGAAATTTCAGCTGTCAGCTGAACTCTGGGGAGCAGTCTGTGCAGCAGAAGGTCTGGCAAAGATCCTTTGTGCGATGCCAGTTGCTGCACTTCTGAGCTCCTGGGGGAGAAAGCCTGTGTTGGTGCTTTCATTCATTTGTTTTGGCTTCTCAATGACTGCTTTGGCTCACAATGGTACCATCCTAGGCTTGCTAGGTGCCAAGCTGTTGGTTGGAGCAGCAGTCTTAGCGCAGAATTCCGGCATGCAGCTCTTTCTCACTGACATCTCAAGCTCAGAAAACAAGAGCCGAGTGATGGCGCCTGTACTGATGGCTGAAAAGCTCTCCTCGATGATTGGGCCGCTGATTGGAGGAAAGCTGATTCAAGTTTTTGGTGCCACGGCGGCCATGACACAACTGGCAATAATTACGTGGCTTGTTTGCACGGTGAGACTCTCATAAGAGGTCGATGCCATTGAGATCCCCCCATGTAGTCATAGAGTGATCAAATTGCTGCAATGGATAGTCACGGACAGTCATGCAGTTATGCACATAGCTGACATATCCCTTTATTGCCCCTTGGCCCTTCATTGATGAGTTCTCTGCACTTTTCCTAGGAGGCAATATATTTGAATAGTTGTAAGCCAACACATGCAGCGTTGCACAGCCCAGGTTCTTCTTGGGTTTCGTGAATCAAGGGATGCTGAAGGAGACAAAGCCAAGGCAAGAAAATCAAGAAAATCTCTCACCGAATGACTCACCAAAGTCAGCCAAGAAACCAAGCGAAGGGAAGTTGAAACAACTTCTCCAAGATGTTCGCGTCAAAGAAGCGGTGATTTTTTCAGCCTTCTACTGGGGCATCATGGCCAGTACACTGTACTGCTTGGTCCCGCTGATGCTGACCCAAGTCTTTGGCTTGGGTGCCTTGGCCTTCTCAGTTGTCCTGGCGGCCACGAACCTGCTGTGCTTCTTGTGCGCAAAGCCTGCTGCAGAATGGTCAGATCGATGGGGTCGGAAGGCCGTTTTGGTGCCTGGAATGGTTTTGGTTGGAATCGCCACAGTGCTTCTCCCGGGGGTACCAAAGGTGGCCACAAGTCAAAGCTCTGAAATACTGCTGCTGACACTTTTGCTCGGTGCGTTGGCCGTAGGCCAAGGCTTGGTGGGTCCTGCTTTGCCAACGATTTTTACTGATGGATTGGCACCAAGTTTGCAAGTGAAGTCTTTGTCATTGCTGAGAATCTCCACGGAGGTTGGGGCAGTGACCTTGTCACTCGCTATGTGTTACTTGGTTGGATCTTCAGGATTTGGCCTCCCATTGGTGGCTGCAGGCGTTGCGGCGCTTTTTGCTGCTGCGAGGTTCTCGATCAAATATCAGGCTTGAACAGCCGCTTTGCTTGTACAGAAATAAGAACGGCCGAACTCCAGAGGAATAGCCGAATTCTAGAGCGGCAAATTCTTGCCGATATCCTCTTGCAATTGCATCAATTGCACTGATGTAATTCACTCTCAGCATTTCTGTACACTTTGAAATTTGTACACTTTTTGCTGGCCAATACGCAATTTTTGAGCACCTGAATGGGTGATCAACCAAGCTCATGCTTGCAAAGGGCTTCGCACAGTCTTGCGTGCAAGGTGTGATGAGCCATTGCGCGCTGCCCAACTAGTGACTAGAAACATACCTATAGAAATCTGAAGCAAGCTGCTGAAAAAGTGTGGCGCCCAGAAGCATCTAGCATCCAGAAGCATTGCACAGGACTCGCCAGACTCGCCACAGTGCTTTTATCCGAGCTGAGAGCGGCTGAGAGCAGCTGTCATCTCAGTCATCTCAGGTTCAGCACATACTTTGTGGATCCTGACGAGGAAAGTGATGGGACAGGGATGGCGAAGTTGTATTTGAGCAATGGACGACTGACTTCAAGAAGCCGGCCAACTAAGAAGACAGAATAAGACAAAAGAAGAATAATTGTTTTTTGATGTTTTTTGTATGTGAAGCACAATTGGATGTACAGTAATTGGGCAAACATGAAAAACATATCTACAGAATCTACATATTTCGAGGAGGTTCTATTGGAACCGCATTCTTTGGCGGCATTTGTTGTTGGAGAGAAAGAGGAGAAAATCGGAGGACTCGGGATTGTGAAAGGAGATCAACAAAAGTATAGCAGGTCTGAAGAAGTTTCCTGTGAGAGTACAGACTATAGTATATATAATATATATTGTATGTATAGTATGGGATCAAAGAGGATCAAAGTGTAATATCAACAATGATAGTGTAAGTAAAGAATTGCAACCTGAAACACCCGGAAATGTCAACGGACATGATGAAACACCTGTATCATATCCAGCAAACAGGGTTGTGGATGTCGACAAAAATCAATGTTGAGCTATTGAAACAAAGAGTATTTTGATATGGATTCCAATTTTTTTTCCAGATATTTCCCACATGTTCACACGCGGAGGCAGCACCCTCCAACCAGGGCCTCTTGGTGCGAGGGGTCGCCACTGTGGAGGCGCTTTGTGCATCGGCGCCATGGTGGATCCCATGGTGAAACCAATTGAAACCATGATATGATTGGGACCCAACTATGATACTATAATAATCTATAATTATAATCTATAATATATACTATAGGGATCTATAGGGGCTGTTTAAGATTGGGGATTAGCGACACTTGTCAATGGCTTGATAATGACTTGTTAATGACTTGTTAACGACTCATTGTGACTGCTGACGCATCCTGGGCAATATGCATGAAGTATTTCAAGCAAAGCGTGTGGGACAGCAACTGACTGGTTCTAAACATGCTCATGGGGTGCGAGGAAAAACCACGCCTTCTTTTTCATAAATTAAATGGGGTGTCTGTGTGGAAACTATTGTTTACGAAAAGAAATGGGCACTGCATGGCAAAAGTGTCAAGTGTTCAATGGTTCTACTCACTACTCACAATGGAGATTCAGAGCAGTCAGCGTTGGGGGCTCCAGTTGAGCAGTTCTCAGTTAGGGTAGTATTGTGTGGGTGCCTTGCAAATTTGATGAAAAGCACACATTCAATTGTGAAAGCAATGATGGTCTAGATTTGTCGCAACATGTAAACAGCTGCAATCGACAGTTGAGATGCTTAATGATGCACAGGGGCATTGCAGCGAAATGCCTGTCACATCAGTATTGATCAATGTGCACCAAGACACCCAAACTTTGTTGCTGAACCAGGCCAAAGTATGCAAAAACGCCAATCCCATCCTGCAGACGCTGTTCGTGACACTGCACCCTGCATAGCAGTTTGTTCCTTCGATCTCAGCCCAAAAACCTGAGCTACCAGGAGTGCTTGGATCAAAAACAAAACAACACCTACGTCCCTGTAGCCAACGATCTCCAATTCGTATGGCCTAGGCGGCCTAGACTTCACCCTCGCCTCCGCTGGAAGGTTTCTCCATCTATGCTGCTTTCAGCTCCAAAGGTTACAGCTGTGCATCCAAGAATGGTACCATGGTTTCTTGGCGGTGTGGCTGAAGAGTGAACAGATTCGGTGCATTTTCGGCCAAGACTCAAAGACTTGTTTCTAACGCATGGCTCAACCACCAGAGTGCCTCGAAATATCCAAGTCGGTTGACGGGAATGGATAGAAGAGGAAATGATAGGTGAAATGAACTCCCCTCGCAGTTGCCGATGGAGTATGGAGACTATTTTTCAGTATTTTTCACTTTTGAATTCTCTTGAAAGGTGTTCGTTTGAGTGATGACAACAGAGAAGACAGAGAGGCAAAATTTCTGATGGACGTAGAGAGAGTGCAGTACGCTTGTTACCGCTTGTTCTCTTGAGTCTTCTGCAACCTGGCTGAGGCTTGATAGAAGCCGCCGAGTCCCTGACTTCGAGGAGGACCCAAGAGCAAATCCTTCTTTAGATATACATTTAAATACCTTTAACCAATCCTTTCCATTCACTTGCCTTTGCCATGTTTGGCTGCTTTACCCAATAAATGTCTCTTAGTCATCCTGAAGCAAGCTATTGCAACACTATTGCAACGTCATAAACAGCTAAGAGCAAGAGCTCACCGTCATTGCCACGAAAAGAAACAGTGTAGACTTCAGTACTGCCAAGTTTGAACGCCTTTCTGACACTTCTAGAGACCTTTACCTCTGGGGGAGTTGATTTTGTTAAGTAAGTTTTCCGCATTTTTGGGCACAAGTTGCTAGACGCGCCCACAAATCCAGTTGCCCAACCTTCTTGATTTCAGCGAGTATGTCCACAAGCATGTACTACAACAGGATCCAAGCCTTTTGGTGGTTGGACTTGGCTTTGTGAACACCAACCGCCTTCGTTGCCGCTTGATTGATGCGGTCGCTTCACTGCACTTCAGTTGATTGCTGTTCCACAAATTATCCACGTAGATTTTGCGAGGTGGGAAGACAAAGTGCCTAGGGCACTTGTATCACTTGGGGAGTGGGTCAACGAAGCTTATCTGACAGCCTGAATCCAACAGAGACAGGAGAGGAAAAATCAGAAAAATCAGACATAGGAGTCATAATGAGTCTGCCAGATAGCAACAGTCAGCAACAGTATCAGAATGTGACAGTGCTTTCCAATGTGGCCTTGCCAAACAATCATTTTGGTGACTTCGGCTGAGGCTGGGCGTGCGATCGTGTCGCCCTATACCATGTTCATCAGCTCTACACAGGTGTGCAATCATTTCGAACGTGTGAAGTTTGAACTCACCACGCTGGAGGGTCGACTGTTGGAACACACGTGGCGCACATTGCTGTGCCTCAAATCATGTGGCGTTTGGCATCGTCCTGTGTGCACAGAAACTAGCTATGCGGGAGGTCCGCTGTACTCTTCCGCTCTATGAACTGCCAGGACAAAGCCATTGCCACCTGCATTCTTGCTATTTCTTACCTCTATGGGCCCAATTGTAGTGATACTGGGGGCTATTCTATAGTCGTAGCAAGAACTCATTTCGAACATTTCGAGGCCTGAAGACTGCAGCAATCCAGGTAGTAGTTGGATTTATTACACATGAAAGCATGCAGTTGGTTCTCACATGTTCTCACGCAACAGTGCAAGAGAAGAAGGATGTGTTACCCATGTGTTACCCATGTCTTGACTGCACATATATGGCTCCATATGGCTCCATATGGCTCCATGATACTGCAGGAAGCTCGAATGTGACCGTTCAAGTATCCAATGATGGAGCAGAATGGTCGCAAGAGACTTTCGAGGCACCCGATCATAACTTAGCATAATTTAGTATACAGGCGATGACATGCAATGACACGCTCACGCAATATATACAGTCAATCTATACATCTATGATTCATTATGATTCTATTGAATGTGTTTATCGTTTACTTATTATGGTTGTTTGTAGCTTCCAAGCTTTTCTCCGAAACCACAAATGACTCCTTTCAGAAGTTCAAAGCTGTTTGGCCGTTCTTTACCGATTGGGGGTCGAACTCTGCGATGCGTTGCAGCTTGGGTGAGGTTTACATCGTTTCAGCTGTGGAACTGTGGACTGCGTCCTTGGCTCCAACTTTTGGAGTCCCCACCGGCAACACGGTACAGGTGGCGTCAGCACCGGCAACGATTCAATGATGTTCAATGCAAAAGCAGAAAGACGCACCGGGTAAACTCGGGTAAACCTGAAATCCATTTGCTGTTTGCCTATGGGAAAATCCACTATTTCTATGTTGCCTGATAGAGACAACTTTTATGGTGCAAGAGATGCTCCTAGACCACTCACCTCCACTTACGACAGAAGCTGTTTGACCAAAAGCTTTGTCCTCTTTACTTCCATATGGGAGACAACTTGTTGTACAATTTGTACAATGTACATCAATGTATATACAATACATTATGATTATGTACATTATTCCATAATAATATACATAATAAATCATTATATAATGTAATATTATATAATATAATGTACATACATGTATAATAATCATTATAAACCAATGTAAAATCCATGGAACACTGCAGGTGACCACAGCCAGTGCCTTGCCTCGCATCGCGACCCTGGGATGCCTCTTTGGCCTCGGAACAGAGTCCCGCTCAGAGGCCCAAAATGTTTGATTCATCTCTGTGCCATAGAAATGATGACCCATTTGACACTCCTGTTTGATTCTATGATATTCTATGTAATATTATGTAATATTCTGTATAATTACTATACTGTATAAGTTACTGTATAAGTCCTTTAAGTCATTGCAGCTAGCATAATGTATCGTAATGTTACGAACACCTTAACACTTGACAAAGCTTCAGAGGTTCACCAAGGTGCGTCAATTTGTGTTGCGAGAACAACGAGCCATCGGACTCACATTGTGATTTGTGCAGTCTCCTTTCTATATCTTTCTATCTTTCCCGAACACCTCTGATCACCTCACTTTCTTTTGGCTCAAGTGTCAGACTTTTTCAGGGCTGTTCGCCCGTCACAAGAAAAGTGCTTCTACCTGTATGGGACAGCGAATGCGACATAGCCTCTATATTCTTCCTGCGCTGGTTGGGCAGATTGCTGCACAGTTTTTCCCGGACGATGAATGCTCTCAGGGTGGGTGTGCCCTCAATGCACTACAGGTCCAGCAGCGTCAGCTCTCAGTGGCCGATCCGGAGATAGTTTCCAGTTGTACGAACGACACCATGTGTGATAGCAATCGCACTTGCGTTTTCAAAGAAGATCGAACATGGAGCCAATGTGTGCCCTTAGACGAAAAGACCTTCCAGAAGGAATGCAGCTACTGGGACAGGAAGATGCGACTTGCTGCCATAGCAGCAACAAAGATGCAGTGTAATTCAGTCAAGTGCGAATGGGACCAGGACTCTCAGCTTTTTAAGTGCATGTGCGGAGTCAAATTGTGAACAAAGGCTGTTTTTTTCCCTGACACAAGCAACATCCTGTCTTTCTTTTAACGGATTGTTGTCATTCTGGCTATTGTAATTTGTTGTTGCGCGTCACTGATGTATGCTCAGTGCCTTGTTTTGCTCTGAAAAACATCTGCTGAATCTGCTAACGCCAATCATGTGTTAGGACTGCGAAATGGGAACAATATGTGTTAGCAAACCAGATGGCAGCTGGGCTCAGTGCGTGCCTTTGGCCAAGGCCCCTCCGACTATATCATGCTCATCCGACTGCACCAAGTCACCAAGCACATCACAAATGTACTGCATGATACTGCATGTAATAATATGTAATAGTAATACTAGACTAGTAACTAGTACTACACATGCGCATTCAAACATGCACCACCATTTGATACACATAGACAGCATGTGTCAGAGAGAGAGAGAGAGAGACTCAAAGGAATTGAGGTAGCAGGATGGCAGCTGAGAATTGTCGGATTTTGACTTTGAATTTTGTTTGGAACATGTTCCCTGCTCACCTGACGTCCAAGCTGCCCAGGAGGAGTTCCAGGAACAGTGCGTGGGATGGGAGGATGATTTCCGCTTGGCAGGGATCAGGGCCACCCATTTCAACTGTCCAAATACTAGGTGCGTCTTGGCTGCAGCTGTGGGGCCTGCAATAATGTGCACTCACCAGAAAATGCCCGATCATGCAGTAGTGTTGATGCACCCAATCCACTCTGCTCAGATTTAGCTTTCAGAGCCTTGAACTACTTGTTGAGCTGATAGCTGACGTGCCAATTCCAACGGAAAGAAACCGCAGATCACCCAGGTTTTCAAGAATATGTTTGAATTATATACACATACTATTGTGCCCTGTTCCAATTGAATTGCTATTCGGATTGGAGCAGTGAAGGCTACTCGCAAGATTGGTGCGTGCACGGTGCTCGCTGTGCACTTCAAGAAAACGGTGATTGGGGGCAGTGCATTATGTGCCATGAGAAGAGAGCCTCGGCTGGCGGTGGAAGTGGTTCTGTATTACTAAAACGTTTCAACTGCTTCATATCTAAAGTCTATCCGTCAAGGCCTCGATCTTTTGCCAGACAACAGGGGCACAGGGAGTATTGAAAGGCCAATGTCATCCCCCAAAGTCTTGTTGACATTATGAAACATGTGAAACACCGTTTCTTGTCATGTGAATTGCACTGACTCTAATTTATTGCAGACATTTGCAGACGAAAAAGTGGAGATACCAATGATTGGTGACCCTTAAGGATTTTCCAAGATGGAAAAAAACCAAGTGCTCACAGTGGCCTGCTGTGTTCAAGTGAGGAGGTGGAATCAGCCTACTCTCAGCAAGGCAATAGCCTCACTGGGTCATTGAAGCTCATTGAAGCCACATGACACCATATTCGATTTCTTCGTTTTCTTGGCTTCTCCAGAGAATAGTGTGAAATTACAACACGGCTTAGATTCAGCGTCACAATCTTCACTGGCTTTGCTTCTGTAGTGCACTTCCGATTGGTTTAAGTTTATATATTAATATAAGTGCATATCACTATATAATATATAAACTATATGGTTTATAAACTATATATAAGTTACATATATGGCTTCTGTGATTAACTTTGACCATCATGTTCAAGCATCATTGCCCGTCCTGGATTCCGTCCTGGATTCCTATGGATACCCCGGGCGGGTCTTGATCCTAGGCTTCCAGACCAATTGCTACTCTTGGCGTTCCTCCTTCATATCTGCTGCAGAAACTGCATGCCACAGGAAATGTTTGTTCCTTGGCTACTAGTTTTGCATGTCCAGTATATCCAGTCATAGTCATTGCAATTTCTTCTCATGAATATCACTGTATCAACTAAGCATCAACGATGAAATTCAAGCAGGCAAGTATAACTTTTTTTTTCCGCGAGATGAGATGCGCACCAGGAATTCGACTTCAACAAATGTCCACATAATTCTTTTCCACAGTATTCCACAGTGTATTTTTCAAAACCTGGTTCGTAAAGACTGCAGCTGCAGAACTAAAGGTATCTGAAGCGACAACGATTTGAGTGCAAACGTTTGAGAATTGCGCGCTTTTTGTTTCTCAGAGTCAACCTGGTCAATACGAGGGAATTTGCCTTTCTGGATCAACCGGGTACCCCACTGCGATTGGTTCACATATTTGATCCCAAAGATTTGAACATAGAAGCATAAACTGAAGCCATCCGATCGGATCCTGAACAAAATTTGAACAAAAACTCAGAAAAACATCATAATATATATATATAATATATATGTCAACATAGAAGGATGGTTCATAATGAAGCTATATTAATTATAAATGAAGCTCAGCTGAAGTTCCATGTCATGAAGCTCCGATGCAAAAGCCGAGGTTTGACGAAGCCTTCGAGGACAAGAGTGGAGAGAAGGATGCGAAAGGACCCGCCTTTCCGTTGCTCAGCTTTGGACCTGGGTTGATGTACGGCACGCGATTTGAAAAAATGTCGGCCAGATTGAAACGTCAATCAAACTCTTTCCACGGTCTGAATGTGGCCTGAATAATATGTCACTGAAAGAACCCGACCGAGGCGTTTAATGTTGTGTGAGTATGTGTGAATGTCCATTGCCCTACAGGAACTTTGGGAGCTAGCTCAGATTCATCGGTCACTGGAGCCATGAGGGATGCGGAATCGGATGATGCCGGAGCCCTCAAAGAGCCATAGTCTCGACCCGAGGTTAAAAAGAGCGGCATTGCTGGGAAGCGTGAGTTGGTCTTGTCTTGCATGGTTTGTCAAAAGTTTGCGTCCAATCTTTAGTCAAATATCATTCAATTTCAACTTTCTGGAGAACCAAAGGGCTAAAAATCTCTGCTGTGATTTATCAAACCTCGTTAGCCGAACCTGTATTTGGAATGGTATTGAATCCTCTTCTAAGCTCATGCCCTAAATCGCCTCCAACTGTCACATAAATAGTATAAATGCTGTATCCAGGCAGTCTTCCTGGGTACGAATGATATCCTGTGCATTGCTGACCAGCCGGTTTGGACCCCAGACACCGGTGGACGCGTTGGTTTTCCCATGCTCAATCAGTTTGATCCGTGATCTTGTGCGCGTGTGTCCCCTTTGCTTCTTTTCATCTTTGGGTCTTCTTTTACACTTTTTCCTCTGTTTTCCTCCCTCAGCTTATGATGTTTGCGACTTGGTATTATGTTTCTGTGCTTTTCTCGTCTCTTCACTCCATGAGTTGACTTGCATCATGACAGACTGACATGAATTGTAGCACACGCCTGTCCTCTGCCCTGACCTTCTCTTACCACTTCTTTCATTTCCTTTCACTATAGTATCAGACTTGAAAGAGCCAAGCTATGCCATGCTATGCCAAGCTCAAAAACTACGGAGTTTGAAGCTGAAACAATATGAAGCATGCTGAAACCATCTAGCTATATCTAGCTCGAGCAGTGGCAGCATGTGGCAGCCGCAATTGCGGCCGCCATTCCTTTCTCTCGGTTTCGCAGTGAAACCAGCCTGTCAAATGTGTCTCCGACAAACCGCAGCTCAAGATTTTACTATATTTTACTGTGGCGAGAAGGACGTGAAGGTACTTGAGAGGTTGCTTCAGCACAGGGGCAGAATGGCCAAATTCACCAATGATTAAGAATGACTAATGACTATGGCTGAGAGGATTATTACTGCAGTCAAGAAAGGTTCCCGGATGTTCCCGGTGTCACTGCACACACGATAGAAATACCATGAAGAACACAAACAAGAAGTAACAAGAATATATCAAGATTCATGAAGCATTTGTTGCTTGTTCTTACTACTGATGTTGTATCCCCCCAACATTCTCTTCCTTCATCCTTGCATTGCTGCCATAGTCTCCGAGCTGTTTCAGGTGAAAAGTTTTTCCCTGCGACGAGCCGGAAGTGCAAACCCGGGAGGTCTCCTGCTGTCATTCGAAGCTGGAGTGGCTCGCTCGACTTTGCTGTGTTTACATTTGCATCGATGGAAATTAGAACTTGACCCGCGAAATGATCGGTGGATCCTTTTGTGAAATCTCTACTGACACTGTCAAAGGCTTAAATCTTGAGAACATGCCAATGAGTCTTTGCAATGATTAGTCACAGAGATGTAGTCCGCACGTTAATTGCCTGTGAATTTGGCAGACACAAATGTATGGCACTGTGAGTCACGGACAGTACAAGCTGCAGAAAAAAGAAGCGTCAAAAAAAACAAGAAGCATTCAACAAGGATTCTGCTCGTAATGAGTCTGGAGGCAGAAGCCCAGAGATTGGTTTCCGCCTCACGTTGGCTCCTGCATCTGGACGTGCGGTCGCCAAGAGGGTAAAGGAACCGGGTGCATTTGCCACGAGCAAAGGTCCGCATAAAGATCTTGTAAAGCCATGGGACTTGCAAGAAATGCACTTTACACGCTCTCAACGTAGGGCTAGGTACTACTGTAGCAGGGTTATTGGATGCTATATAAATGATGTAAATGGATTAAGGTGGGTTTCGCAATGTTTCCTATGCTTTGGTATAATACGTTCAAACGAACATCAGCTACGCATGGTACGGGCAACGGAACCAGGCAGCGGAGATCCACAACTTCTCACCTCGAAACCCAGCAGCTTTGTTTACACCAGGACGGCCTACGGCGAGGAAATACCAGGTCACCATTTTGTACCTAGCATTAGTTGGAACGTGTTGGGCCCGCATTCGGTTTGTTGTGTGGAAATTCATAGTTTAATAACTTCTATCACTCACAGCACGGCAGGGAGTACGTATGAAGTGATGGGAACTGTGCAAGAACATTCTTTGCTCTGGATTGTCTGTGTCTCCAATGAAGCCAAATCTTCTAGCAGAAAGTTTGGTTATGTAACAGTGTAGCGTCGGTTCAGACAGCCCCAAACAGCGTTGTCGGTTGTGGATGGTTGGGGCCATGATCCGCCATGAGGACGCCAAATTTCTATCGATTGCAGCCCAACTTTGGTCCTGTGAACGTGCCAGTAGTCGTGAAGGCGTCCCAACTGTTTCTGTGGATGGTGGGTCGATTCAAGCCTAGCCATCAGCACGATCCATTTTCATGGATGCTTGTGAAGCCAAAACCACGTAGTCACGTACAGTAGCGTCTCAGATTCAATGTGCTTGTGCCAGGGCAGGAACTATCCTATGGGGATTGCCGATCCGCAGAAGCCTTTGCCCGCCTCGCCGGAAGTGAAGAATCAAAGAGTAAAACGGTGAGTATAGATGATTAAATTGCAAACCCACATGTATTTAATAACTTTATAATGTTTATAATATATAATGTAGGTAATATGAAAATTATGTTCTTATGAGGAATTTGGACTGGAGCCAACAACAAGATTTTTGCATGCGCAATCAATCTTTCAAGCGGATGGATGTCACAATAAGATAGCTTTGCGGAGTGGGTAGAAGCTGATCCACTCAGGTCCCAGGTCCAATGCTTCTGGTCTTTGACCCGTGTAGTCACGAATGGAACCCTGCTCTCAGGCCCTGGAGAAGCGTGTTCTGTGTTTTCATCTGTCAGTTCAGGGGGAATGTCCGCCTGATGGTCTGTATCGCAGGAAGTCTGAACCGTCTGAACGGTTGCCAGTGTTGTGAGATGTCGCGAGACGGTTGGATGATTTGGATGATTTGGATGAACTCTTGTGGAGGAATTTGGAAGACGAAAACAGGGCTTCGAATATCTTTGCTGTGCAGATACCGAGCTGCGGTGCTACTCCCCATACGAGCTGCCCATCATTCAGTGGACGCGCGTGACCCAGGATTTGCAAAAGCAGCGAAGTTCACTCGTTTTTCGTCAACTGGGTATTGTCAGTATATTGTCAGTACAGGATAGTGCCCCCCCAGTTATAAGTTGGTTTATAAACCCCATTAATCATAGTTATATCTGCCATAAACCATAGTTATGGGAGTTATAAACCAACTTAGCTAACTATGGGGCACCACCTTGTATGCCTCCATATTTCACCATACTTCACGACCTTTCACTGGCATTCCTTTTCTCGTTCGGACTGAACTCCTTGTCAGGTATGGCACAGCACCAAATCAGACCACAGGAGTTAAAGAAAATGGGTGATGAAGGAGCAACAATCCCAAGTCCTCCCACAATCTCGACTTAAAAGAGGTAACATGTGAAGATAGTTGGATGGACAGACAAAAAGCGAACAAGAGTGGATGTAGCATGTGGCACATCTGCGGGGTAACATCGACGGTGTACCCTTTCTTTTTGCGGAATACTACAGCGCGAGCACTTGGAACCAAGCCACTGAGACTCTTGATGCCTTGGAGGTCAATGAGCCATGTTTGGTTTCAAGGTCCATGGGTCCATGGTGACCAGTGGACCATAGTCAGAGCTGATGGTTCCAGAATTTGGTCCTGTTTTGATACTCAGATGACTCAGATGTTGTTTGCAAAGCAAAATCAGGTCACAATTGGGCTCAGTGGACCACCTCGCAAGCATCTCCTTTGACGGTGGCAGGCTGGAAATGGTTAGAATTTAGTGTTGGAATGTGTTGGGAGATCTTGTCCATCGGGCCATGGCATAGAAAATCACGACATCAACAGAAGCAGACATTGCACGTGTAGATTGAGCAAACTGGTGGCTCCAGGGCCTTGCTGACATCCGGCTGACACAGTTTTACTCCTCTCATTCAGGAACTTTCATCCAGTGGCTGCAGAAGGACTCGTGTTTGTCCGGGTGCCCAAAGAAGCTATGTCGGACTGTGAAGAAGAACACACAGGTGAAAGATGAGCAAGAGCCATCAAGAGCCATCAAGAGCCATCAAGAGCCATCAAGAGCCATCAAGAGCCAAGTCTTTGTATCCCAACATATTGCCCAACACGTTGCCCAACACATTGCCACGTATTCCACAAACTGAGACCATCCTCCATGGGGGCAGTGGACCCTTGGCAGCTGCGCTGGCGCCAACAAGTGTCCTGATGGGACGAGGCAGACCAGCAATGGCGTAGGCAGTTCCTTATTGGGTGCCAGGATGTAAGACATTTAGAAATTTTAGAACATGGCTCACATGTTTTGAAACATGTTTTTGAAACATGTTTTCCACATTTTCCGACGAGGCCAATGGACAAATCCAGACCGGATCAAAGTGAGCTGAAAGTTTGACGTTTTTTGATGTGTTGACAGTGTTTTTCTGCACTGGTAAGATCTGGTAAGTGCAGGTGAGACGATCTCATTCTTTGGCGGCGACTTCTATCCAGTGCAGCAGAGAGGATCTTAGCTAGCTGGAATCAGCTGGAGCAGGGTGACTCTTGCCCAAGGGATCCCAAGGGCATTGAGACATGGGGGGACATTGTGGAAACTTGAAATGCTACTGTCACTCTGAATCATCATGAATCATCCTAGCGTCCTATGCACATCTATGCACTGACGCTAAGCTAAGTGTTGATTGTCAGAGATGCACTTTGCTGCGACCTTGCGAGTCGCAAACAAATGCATTTCAGCCCTCCTTTATTCGTTGAGCATGAGACAGACACTGACAAACGCACAAAAACCGCACACACACACACACATACATACTGTCACATACTGCATGTTTGCTAAGTCTGCACGGATTTCACCAACTGTTTGACCCTCGTTGTCCGATAATCGTACGATGATCCGCATCCGAGGCTCGCACCCGCCTTTGGCTATTGCACTTTCTCCTGGCTGGGGCCCCAGCGCGGGAACGTCAGTCCGAAGGACAAAGAGGCGACTATGGAAGTCTACAGACTCTATGGCTATCTATGGCTGCTGTGTGTTCCTACAAATAAAATATCTTAAATCATGTTAAATCAGGTTTGGATGTCTCATAGAAAGACTCGCAGAATATGTTGGAATTAGAATAGAATCATTCTGAGGGGTTCAAGAGCACATCGATCGATGCAAGTTCATGGGTCTTTTCAATGTGTTTTTCTTTTGTTCGTTGTCATTTGTGTCTGTCTGTCTTTTAATATCTTTTAATTGTTGTACCCCTTAGACGTGAAATCCACTTTCAAAGTTGACTCATTCTGTTTGCTGCTTTTCTGGTTGTGGTTGGTGATCCTCCAAGACCTTCCCTGTCAATCCGGCTTCGAGTGGCCAGCTTTGCCACCAATTTTTCTCTGAGGAACGTGACCTATCCAAGCAATCTCACCAATGACACAGGCAGAGCTTCTGGAGCTGTGTCATTTTGCTCACCATTGATGATCCATTGATGGCAAGGAGTTGGTTTGAAATGGTTGGTAGTTGGCTATCTGCCTGTTGTGCGTAATCTTGTAATCTAAGCAGATCTAAGCAGATTGTTTGTCGTATTGACTGAGTGCATTGGCAAGCTCACTCGCTCCTAGAGCAATTTGATGTTCAGAAGAGTTGGCTTCCGCTGGTGACGTGCTTTTGCCAGGTGTTCGAAGCGCAACTGCAGCAACTGCGCTCAGTTGAAGCATGGAACGTGGGTGGAAAGATGTGGAAAACATGTCTGTTTGATTTTATTTGATTGCTTTGGGAGTGACAGGTGGATGGTCCTTCCAAGTGTTCTAAGTGTAGAGAAGTGTCAGAAATAGGAGACAATCCACAAAGAGGCGCAGTTCCTGAAACAACTGAACACCTCATTTTGAGACGCATTCCTGCAAATTCAGTGTGCTTTCGAGGATGGGATTCACAGAAGTCAAGCTAGCCAAATCTTTGCAGCTTAAGATCCACTCAACAATTGATAATAATTAATTGATATGTTGTGCTGTGCACTTCAAAGGGAAGATTCTCCACAAGTCACGGGAAGGCGCACCCTGACTTGGCACTCACTACGACAGATTTTGGTGTTTTGATTTGAAAATATTTAGAATTCAATTGATTGAAGGTGGGCAGTGGACACAATTTTCTGATTTTTCTGTTCAGATGGAGGGGATTCTTTTTGGCCAAGGTCTATGTCTCCCAACGAGAGGTCCAGTGCCAGGTGTCATCACCAGAAACGGGACAGGATGTGACGAAGGGGCTGGGAAAGTGTGGCTACTCTAAGACTCTTTAAGAGGTTGCCACAGGTTGCCAATATTTGGGAATAATTCTCACATTCTGCCAGAGTGCTGTTGCACCAGCCTGAAAAAGGTGGTGTGTTGGCACCAGAGTTTGCAGAACATGTTTGCGAAGCTGGACAGCGGCACAATCATGTAGCGCCCATGGCATGTCATGTTGATTGTGGCGCCCATGGCATGTCGCAAGATTTCAAACGCACAGCGTGGACGGCAGAACCGATCCCCACAGATGCCACAGGTTCCTTTGGATCTCCCACCTGTGACACATGCGGTGCGGCTTTTCTTCACCCAAGGAGGTTCAACCTTTGAGGTGGGGACCATAAATGGCCAAAGACCAAGAGTTGGACAAATAGCAACGTACTCACTCAAGGCTTTACATGGCTTATTACTATCTTTAATTAATTATACTATCTTTACTGCATCAGTCTTAAAGTCTCCGCAACTCTGAATTCTTCGTTTTCGCGCCTGTAAATTTTACTTGATCATCATCGCTGTTTTTTGCCGTTAAAGAGACCTCGTTGGGAATGGAGGTCATAGGAGGTGGTAGGATTTGCTGGATTTAGATGCAGTTTGGGCCAAACTGGGTTGGGTTGCGACAAAGTCCCCTCGGCCGTCGTAGCGTCGTAGTTTGGACAACACTTGTGCGCACTGCATGGCCAGGCTCGCTACGGCATTCCCTCTGGCGAACCGTGGCTGAATCTGACAGCCGCTTCGATGGCATAGATCAGTTATGGATAGTTATGGCATTTATGATCAGTTTCAGACAGGACTTTCACCGTGTTTCTGTTGATTGATGCCGTGCTGTTGATTGATGCCGTGCGCATAGGCAAAATTTCTAGCATGGCTAGCAGTTTGACAAGATTTTCAGGTCTTCCCATCATTCGCACTGCACGATCCGGTGCCAGCTTGGGCTGCGAGCCCAGATGGGGGTTTGAGTGGTTTGGACTGTAGGAAAGTTTGAGTACGCTGACTCTACAGAGTGCATGGCATCTGGTTGGGATATGTTGAGTTGGTATGTAGAGAATGCTTTTCATGATGGCACAGAAATGCCGGCGTAGGTTAGGAGAGTATTTTGTTCAAGGTAGTATGACTCCTTCAGGATCCAATCACGACAACAAAATAACAATGGTTCGATAGCATTTTGAACGTAGTTGTAGCCGTTCAAACTTCACCACGTTCATTTGTGAGCACTTGTGACTGACCTGGTTGTGCAGGGTGATCAGAATAGGGAAGGGTCCTGTCTCCAAATGCTGTGGAAGAAGCTTTGTCAGTCTCCGCGTCTTTACCAGATACAGCTCTCTTTTCCATCAGGCTCCCCGCGGTGGTCTGTGGCAAGTTTCATTGCCTGGTAGTCGCATTTTACCTTTGGCGGAGGACTAGCAGCTGGGTTGGGATTGGAAAGTTCAGAATTGAAAAGATACCGAGCTTAAAATCAAGACAAGATGGCAATCAGTTTCATTAAGTAATTCCATCGCAAAGTTCTAGTTTTCGGATGTTTTCCTTGTCATCCTATGTTTCCCTGTCACCAAAAGCCTTGATGCAATTTGCTCCTGAATAGCGGTACATCATTTCACATCGTTCCATCACCAGGACAACTACCACTGCACCTTTGGCTCCGCTCCTGCAACAGCTGCCTTGCGGATTTCCTTGAACGAGGCAGATTGAAGAGTGCTGCCATGCATGAGAAACATGTGAGACATATGAAATACCAGTGATGCATAGTAGCAGTACTTGTGGGTTGTACCATGTGTTGTTGTGTGAATCTGAACATGTATCCTGATGCTCGTGATTTTCAGTGTCAAGATATGTCAAGATGTTATTTGTTAGCAGATTGGAAAAAGTCCGACGTGGTCAAATGAAATATGGGGGATTCCATAAGTGAGGCCCCAATAGCTGGATAGTTTCAAGTGGAACGTCCTATGAAAAAATGGATGATTTTGGGGGTACCACGGTACCACCATTTTAGAAAACCTCCATCATATTTTGAACGACACTGCTCCCATAAAGGCCAGATACGCAGAGAAGCATGCCCCATTCCAATGTCAAAACAAATTTGTTCCCAAGTGTTGAGGCTTTGTGAGTTGCTTTTGACTTACTGCATCTTGCTGCAGCTTTTGCTTAAATGCTTTTGTCTCCCGCGGGAACTTGCCAAGCTGCAACCGCTCGGGAATTTATTCATTTTATTCGCATCCCAAGCCGACCCTCACGGCGTGGTCCGTGGACGTTTAGCCTGCGCCATCACTATCTGAGCGTCCCAAGTCTGGCACTCGCCATGACCGCACGGAGTCGTTCGCCAAAAGTGGCACGCGCCGGAGCTAGTGAAGCTATCGAAGCATCAGGCCTCAGCTTGGAGGCGAGAGCAGTCATCATCCAACAATGGAGTTTGACAGTAATTAATCAACTCTGGGGTCTACATGGGTCTACACTGCACATTTTGTGGATTCTATGAAAGGAGCAATTTGTCCATCAGCAAAGTGAGGTTCCTGGCAATGATCATAATTAATGATCATCCTGGATGGTTCCTGGCTGAACCGCATCAGTTTAACATGTTTAACCTCGCAAGGTTTAACCTTGCACTTCGCTAACAAAACTAGCCGTCCCACGTAGCCACATGCGATAAAAAACTATATTAAATCTTAAACCATCAACTCTGGATCGATAAACCTGTGGATGAAGGTAATCTATCACTGTTTTGTTTCCTTGTGAAATAGAGATACCGGTTAATAATCCAAAATAGAGTATGGACCAATGGATAATATGGAAACCCATTGGTTTTTGGTACCCCCACTTTGACAAATACCCATTTCCCAGCCAGGGTTGACGCATGCAAGTTGATACTCCCCCAGGGACGCAAGGCGTTGGTGACGGGCGGCTCCAAGGGTATAGGACGCGCAACGACTGAGTTGTTCTTGAAGCTTGGTGCGGAGGCTGGATTTCAAAAAAGTCCACTTGAATATGATGAAATATGATGAATATGTTTGGGTAGACTGAGCAAATACAGTATTTGTTCATATGTTTTCTCCGATTTTTGGTCATAGGCCTTCCGTTAGCTTCAAAAGGAGTTCAACGGTTTAATACTGCGCATGCGTGTTGGCAAAGACATGTTTGTTAGCCTGATTGCACTGAAGTGACAGAATTTGTCACAATTATACAAAAAGAATCAATAGTGATTATATGATGATTAAATGATGATTATTAATATTTATTAATTATATATAATATTATATACAAAATTGACAGAACAAGATTTGAATTGAGAGCTCCGGAGGTGGCAATTTGTGCAAGAGGTGAGACAGAACTTGAAGCCGTTCGGCAGCTGGCGCCTGACCGCTGTCATCCAATAGTGGCAGATTTGTCTACAGAGAATGGAGTGAAGGACACCCGGGTGGTAAGAAAGCACCTGAATTGCTGTGTGACACTGTGGCAATATATTGGCAACTGCTGAACTTGTTTGTTTACTTGTAAGGATAGCAAATTAGTTTGCCTTCATTGCTTGCTTCACAGAAACCGCTGTCTGTACAGATGGCAATGGTAAGTCGCTTTGAATCTTGACACATTCGTGACGGTTTGCCAGGAGTTGATCGCCAAGCTTCCATGGAAGGAGCTTGATATCCTGGTGAACAATTGTGGTACCAACATTCGGAAAAAGGCGGAGGAATTTACCAACGAGGAGTTCTCCAAGGTCTTTGATACCAATTTCATGTCGTGCATGTGGCTTTCGAGAGCCGCCCTGCCTTTGTTGAAATCCGGCAGTGAGAGGCGGAAGGCACAAGGTGCACCCGGAGGCGCCGCAATAGTGAATCTCAGTTCAGTGGCAGGAACGACTCATATCCCTTCCGGTTTCCCATATGCCGCCTCCAAGGCTGCCATGGATCAAATGACGCGAAATTTGGGTGTGGAATGGGCGCGGTTTGGTATTCGCGTCAACTCGGTGGCACCAGGAGCTATTGAAACCCCATTGATTCGGACTGCAAATCCGCAATACAGAGCTGACTTCAAGGAAAGAAAACCCATGGGACGCATGGGTCAAGTGGAGGAGATTGCTAGGCCCATTGCTTTCCTTGCAAGCGATGCTGCTTCTTTTATGACCGGTCAGACTTTGTATGTTGACGGTGGCTTTACTGTGACCGGCTTCAACAAAGTCCCATCGTATTGGGAAGACTAGCACTTCTCTCAGAAGGAAAAACGCGCGTGCCCGCCGCTGCAGATGACACAAAGATAAACTAAAAAAGAATTGTCTCATGTTCATTCAGGTTCTCTCTTCCAGTGTCAGTAGAGGGATAAGAGGTTGATTTTCCCGCCTTGCCTTGGCAGGTCTTGTGCCGGTCTGCCAGATGCTCGGAAGAGGGGGCCACTTTTCGCTCGGTGATTTTGACAGGTGCTCATCAAGAGAATTTAAGAGCTTTGTTTTCATCATGTTCCATCCAAATTTTGACATTCTGTCCATTTTGACAGCTCAAATCAAGGGCGGTCCATGATGCCAGTCATAGTCCAGTCATTAGTCCAGTCATTAGTCCAGTCGTTTTTCTGAGATCGTCCTGATGGGCTGCCGCTGCCGTCACCAAGGCGCTCCATGAAGCAGGCCATGTTCCTCTGCAACTTTCCTGGCCTACCAGGCCACTTTTGATCGTTTTCGAGAGAACACCAAATCAACGGATGGGGATGGGCATCGTGACGGCATCGTTTTTTTGGCTACTGCGGTACTTGGTTCATGATGTTAATGCGCTCATGACATGTCATGTAAGTGTTTACGTACCCCCGTTGGTTGTAGGCTCAGGACCCCTAGGCAGAGGAATTCTTGTTGATGGAAGGGGCGCAGCAAGATGGTGCTGCCGGCTGCGACCCCGTCGCCGCTGGAGCGGTCCTTGGGGTCCTGAGGAAGGTGGGCCTCACCGGCCCTAGGCTGGCTCTCCAGATAGGAGAGGAGGCCGAAGTGGCCAAACAGGCCGCAGAGAGGGCCGGGGTGCCTTTTGAAGAGTGGGTGGTGGACTTGGTCAAGGCCCAGGTCAAAGCCGCCTATGATACAGTAGAGCTGGAGGCCAGACTGGAAGGTAGTGCAAAGTCCCCGGGTGCCCAAGCCGTGGACGATGCAGTGGCGAGCATCACGAAGGCCGCACAGTCGCAGGCAGCTGAACCGACTGGGCCTCCAAGTCGGCCATCAGTAGAAGTCCCCAAAAGGGGTAGGCTGGCCAAGTTGCCGAAGGGAGTTTCCTTGGCAGGCGGCACAGGGAATATGGAAGAAGATAAGGTGGTGCAGCTTCTCTTCGAGGAGCTATCCCTGATGGGGGCCCCCATCGTCGCACAGATTGGGGGGACATCCAATCCAGAGAGGGCCAAGCAAGCCTTGCTTGGGAAGTACAGGGCCTCAACAGCCAAGAGGTACTTGGCGTACTGGCAGGGCTTCCGCAAGTGGATCTGTGCCACGACGAGCAGCTTGCCCTACCGGGGCGAACAGCTGGTGGACTACCTCCTAGCAAGGGAGGAGGAAGGGATGGGCGCCACAGTGCCCTTATCTGTTGGAAAGGGTGTCGCGTGGTTTGAAAAGCTGGCAGGGTTTGAAGAGGACCAGATGATGAGCTCATCACCGTTGGTGGACACGGTGGTGAAGGACCTGCTGAGGAAGCTGGAGGACAAAGCTCCACCAAGGCGGAGGGCACCCAGCAGGGGCATGGGTTAAGCTCCTGAAAATCTGGGCGTCCCTGCGCTTTGATGATATGGCGCATATGCGCTGGGATATGGTGTGGGTCTATGACGGAAAGCTGTCCGGCCTACTGAAGCGGACCAAAACCACCGGAGGTGGCAAGCGTGTCAAGGAGCTCCCCTTCCACGTGGCAGCAGATGCGTGGGTTGGGGAGGTCAGCTGGTTGGAAGTTGGGATCCAGCTCCTGGGAGGCCCCAGGGGGAAGACAGCCGAGCTTGTCATCCCGGCGGGTCTGAGCCAGGGTGAAGCCTGTGAAGGTGTGGTGATGACCTACCAAGAGGCAGTTGCTTGGAGCGCCGAGGTGTTGCAGGAGCTCAGAGATGAGAAGGGAGATCCTCTCATCCCTCATGGGTGGGAGCGGTACTGGACAGAACATAGCGAAAGAGCAACTCTGTCCAGCGCCCTGGCAGCAGTGGGGGTCGCAAAGACGGACCGCGACCTTTTGGGGCGTTGGACTCCTGAGGGTTCAGACCAGTACGTGAGGACGTACAACTCAGTGGTGGGCAAGCTCCAGGTGAAGTATGCAGAACCGGTGAGAGATGGATATGGGTATGAATCCTTCGACGAGGGAGCAGTGCTGGAAGGCCTGAAGACGTGGCTGACGGAAAAGTGGTCAGTCAATCCAGATGAGGCGAATGCCGCCGTGGAGGCATGGAAGAGGAAGCTGAGGGCGGTGGCTGGCCTGCCTGATCCCCCAAAGGAGGAGGCAAACACGTGGGGCAGTGAGCCCGTGGGACCGGTGGAGGAAGAGGAGTCATCCTCCAGCTCCTCGGGCAGCTCCACATCGGAAGGAGCGTCGGGTTCCACTGCAAAGAGGCCCAGGATGGAAAAGCTGGAAAGCGAGAGGCCAGCTGGCTTCATCGTGGTGTACAACCGGATCAACCGTGGGAAACTCCACAGGGCTGGCAGAGAGGGATGCTGGATGGCGAGGCAAAGAAAGTTCAAGAAGGCAGCAACCTTCAGTGAGCAGCCGGATGAAAACGCGTACACATCGCGGTGTAGGTTGTGCTGGCAGGATCTCAAATGGGATTCCTCGTCCAGCGACTCTGAGGATGAGATCCTGGTGTCCCACCCCTAGACGGACACAATAGGTGGTCTAGGTAGGTGTTGTACAGTAGGAAACAGGATCAAGGCTGACAGCCGGTATCTGAGCATCACGCTCCGGAAAAACCTGTGGCAGACCGAGTGGTTGCTGCAGTGAAGTCCTGTGGCGCCCACAGGCAGGTAGATAAAGGGGTCGCACCCCGGTCTCCCCAGGTCGCACCTGGGGGCTGTCGGATTGCATTGGGACCGCGTCCTGACTGCATGGGTTCTGATAGGGTGCCCCTGCAGACGGTGGCTCACAGGAGGGGGCAGCACTTGCCGCCATGCCGCCGATAGTGCTCACGGAGGAGCAGCAAGCTGCTGCTCTGAGGAAGGGCAGTGCAGATTTGAAGTTTCTCTTCGATCGCAACGAAGTGCCGGCTGAGGTTGCGGCGAAGTGGTTTCACTCAGGGGTAACAACCCTTGAGAAGTTCGCAAGCATAGCCAAGGACGTAGATGACTTGGTGGAGGTCCTGAAGGCTCATCTGGACATAGACCAGTCTAGGGCACTGGAGGAGAGGGTCCAGGTTGCAGCAGTGTCCTGCGCCTGGGCAAATGCCCGCACACGTGTCCAGAGAGCCGCGGAAGTTGAGGCAGAGCTGGATACAAAGGAGTGGAGGAAGCCCGTATCCACATCAGAGTGGTTGGCGATGCGGGTGGGCCTTGAGAAGGTAGTAGGTGCTCTTGACGAGCGCCTGACTCCGGCCAAGGAGTTCATCGAAAAGAAGCTCCAAGAGGTGGAGTCGGGAGACTACCGTGCAGAGGATCTGACTGAGGTAGTCAGCCGGGAGGAGGTGGATCCGGATAGCCTGGTTCCCCAATGGGATGCAAAGGGAAACATTACAGTGCGGAGAGGGGCGACTAGGGTCAAGGAGCCAAAGAACCCTGAAGCGCTGCGCCAGCGTTTGACCCTCCTCCGGAACGCATTCCAGATGCTTTCCCTCCGCCATACGAACAGGCCGGAGCTCCAAGGAGATTATGTGAAAGCCTTTGAGGATTACAAGGATTACTTGATGGGGGAGCACGTGTACGGCTTGAACGCGAAGGATGCTGAGGGAATGACGATTGCCGCTCCCCCATTCAACTTGGTCCTCTCGTATGAGCGGGCGGTCAGAAAGGAGGCAGCTCGGAGGATGAACCAGGAGGGAGTGGCATTCCCTGCAGCCCTCCGGGCGGCGTGGCGGGATCCCTTGACCAAGGAGAGGCATTTTACCACGCCTCTTGCACTGGTGGCAAAGAGGCCAAGTGCGCCAACCAGTGGGTCGGGAGGTGACCTGGCATCAAAGAAGCCGCGCTTCGAGCCCAAAGGGGGCAAAGGGAAAGGAGCGGGTAAGGCCAAGGTGCTCCCAGGCTGCGCCACGCACAACCGGGACGGAACTCCCATTTGTTTCAGGTTCAACACCGTGGGAGAAAAGTGCAAGCAGAAGAAGTGCAAGTTTGCACATCAATGTGGCATTTGCTTTTCGGAGAAGCATGCCATGTTCCAGTGCACGGTGGCTACAAGGCAGCCCCCTGACACAGGCGGGGCTGCCTGACCCCCGAAGTTTGTGCTGCTGTACCTCTTCTCCGGCAGGAAGAGGCGGAATTCACTGGCATGGTTCGTCAAAAAGTTGGCGAAGAGGTTTCACTTCGTGGTGGAAGTCATTGAACTGGACCTCCGGCATAGCCGTAAGGTCGACTTCACCCAACCAAAGGTGCAGAGCAAGTGGTTGCGTTTCATAGACGCAGGGGCGGCAGATGCCCTGGTTATCACCCCGCCCTGCAGCACCTTCAGCAGGGCACCGTGGGCAAATGAAGAGGGCCCTTACCCTCTGAGATCCTCGCTGTGCCTGCGTGGGTTCACTTGGAATTCAGGCCACAGGCGCCAGAAGGCGGAGCTGGGCAACATCCTTGGAGATTTTGCCTTCGAGGCAATGAAGCGTCAGATGGCGCACAAAGGCAAGGTGGCATACATGGAGCAACCGGAGGATCTTGGGAAGACCAAGCAGGACAGAATCCCTGGCCACCGGCCTGGATCCATGTGGCAGTTTCCTCAACATGCCCAGCTGATGGATCTACCTGGGGTCGTTAGCGCCGCATTTGCGCAATTGGACTTTGGGTCCGACAGCGTCAAACCCACAAGGCTGCTGATGAAGACTCCGGGGCCCCTCCACCCAGAGATGTACACAGGGCCGCCAGTCTTTGATGAAGCAGGCTGGTACCTGGGCCCGTTGCCCCGCAAAGAGGGAGTCCCCCTCATTGGGAAAGTGAACGGAGTCTTCAAAACCTCTGAAGCGGCAGCATGGCCCCCTCGGCTTTGTGAATGGGTGGCGGCACAAGTCTTGACCTCGTTCAAACAAAACAGTGAGGCAGGGGAAAGTCAAGAAGGCAATACAGGGAAGAGGGCAGCTCACGACGACCCTCAGAAGGAAGAAAAGCGGCCAAAGCTTGGCCCTGGGAAAAAGGAGGCTGGGGAAGACACAGACCCCTTCAACCCTCCGGTGAAAGGAGGAGTTGGCCCCCCGCGAGCCTGTATCTGGAAAGGCAACAGGATCCCTTTTCATGATGGGGGATGCCTGATGTCTCCGGGGCGCTGGAATATCCCAAAGAGGACCTTTCCGGACGGAGAGGATTGGCAGCAACTGAGGAAGAGGCTTAAAGGGCTGGTCACAGATGCGGCTGGAGGCGATGCGGGGCTGGAAAAGGAGTGCTTCGCGATGTCAAGGGGAGAGGCGGGGTGTAAGCTGGCTCAGAATGAGGACCTTAGGAACCGCATCCTGGGTGTTTTGGAGGAGTTTTGCCAGCCCGCCGAAGGCCTGAGGCAGGTGGCTGAGGGCCAACCCTTCAGGCTCAGACTTATGAGAGCCGTCTTGGAGAAGGCGGCGGATGGGGACTGTCAGTTCCTGGAGATGGCTGAAGGAGGGTTCCCGGTTGGAGTGCTCAACCCCCTGCCCCGCACCCCGGCTGCTTTTGAGAGGCAGGTCGACTGGACGCTCCAGTTTGACCCTGCCGACGCCTATGTCCTTGAAAGGGCGAACTACCCCTCGGCCAGAGAACATGAGGAGCATTTGAGGGAGCACCTGGAAGAAGAGGTGAGAGAGGGCCTGGTTGAGAAGATGACGAGGGAGCAGTTTGAGGAGCAGTTTGGTGAGGCCAGGGCCGTGGCATCGCTAGCAGTTCTGGTAGAAGATGAGGTGTCTGGAAAGAAGCGGGTCATACACGACGGCTCCCATGGTGTGAAAGTGAACCGCAGGATCCGCTGCCTAGATAAGCTGAGGATGCCAGGTGGACGCGAAAAGAGGTTCCTGCTTGGTCAATTCAGGAGGGCGAAGGACGTGGTGTTCTCGCTCATAGGGGACTTCGGAAAGGCCCATCGGAGGTTCAAATACATCAGAGAGGAGCAAGGCTTTCTGGCCTGCAGAGTGAATGAGGAAGAGAACGCCATCTATGTCAACCGGGTGGGGACATTCGGGATTGCCTCCACGCCTTACTGGTGGGGGAGGCTGTCCGCAGCCCTGATGCGGTTAGGGCACGTCCTACTGGGACCGGCCCCGATCGAGGCCCTGCTCTATGCGGATGACCTTGAGACTATGGGCGTCGGCAAGGAGGGACGGAGATGCCAGGTGCTGCTATTCGTCCTGTTGGCAGCCTTCGGCTCGCCGTTCAAGTGGAAGAAGCAGAGGGGCGGCCTGGTCACTGAATGGATTGGGCTGACAACGGACTACGGGTCGTACTCCCTTGGGTTGTCGGAAAGAAGGACAGGCTGGCTGGTCGACTGGATCGGCCGTGTCTGCCAGAGGAAGTTGGTTTGGCCTGGTGAGTTTGCCTCGTGCTTGGGGCGTCTGGGATTTGCAGCAACGGCCCTCCCATGGGAGAAGCCATTCCTAGGGCCGCTTTACACGTGGGCAGCAGCAGTCCGCGAGCAGAAGGGTGAAGTTGTGGTGCCCTGGGCGATTTTGTCCATTCTGGATTGGATCTCCCTGAGGTTGAAGGGGGGTGGCCGGATGGAGATGGTGGCAGAGGAGGCCCCGTTGGCAGCGGGGGCAGTAACCTGCTATACTGACGCCAGAGCGTCGGAGGAAGATGCATGCATAGGTGGGTATCTGGCAATTTCGCCGGACCTGAAGAAGTGCCCCTGGTTTAGTTTTCAGGTGGACGAGACCATGGCCCCTTGGCTGAGGAAGAGGGGAAACAACCCGAAGCGGATGATCGCTGCTCTGGAGCTCCTGGCGACACTGGTGGCAGTAAAGCTCTGGGGCACAGGGGTTGGAGGTGGAATGACAGCCTGTTTAAAGGCCTTCACTGACAACAAGGGGAACTCGTTTGCCGTGGTGAAAGGGATGAGCACGAAGTTTCCCCTAACCTTGCTGCTGATGGAGCTTACGGAAGAGTTGAGGACGCTGGACCTCAAGCTGGATTTGGAATGGATCAGCAGGGATGAGAACACAAAGGCTGACTCTTTGAGCAATGAGGAGTGGGGCGACTTCGACGTGAAGATGAGAGAAGTGAGGAGGCCTGAAGAAATGGGCTGGAAGGTCTTGGACAAGCTCCAGGAGAGGAGTGAGGAACTCTACAAAGAGATTCGGGAATTGAAAGAAAGCCGTGCAAAGGCAAATTTGCTGAAGCGCGGGAGAGGTGTCCCACCGCGTGGGAAAGGTAGCCTCACCAAATGGTGAGTGACTGGTAGTGGGAGTTGCCCTGGCTCTATCTTGATAGAAGAGCTGGGGCCGGCACTCACCTTTGGGAGGCCGTCGTCATTGGAAAATAAGAGTTGCTGCAACCACCATGGGGAGTGAACGCGCTCATGACATGTCATGTAAGTGTTTACGTACCCCCGTTGGTTGTAGGCTCAGGACCCCTAGGCAGAGGAATTCTTGTTCCCTGCCCCCCCTCCCAAGAATTCTCTCCTGGGCGCCCCAGGAGCGGTCCTCCCCCTAATTAAACTTTAGTTAGGGGAGTTGCCCTGGCTCTATCTTGATAGAAGAGCTGGGGCCGGCACTCACCTTTGGGAGGCCGTCGTCATTGGAAAATAAGAGTTGCTGCAACCACCATGGGGAGTGAACATTAAATTATATGTTAATATAATGTTAATGCAGTTAATGCCATTGTTGCACCTTGATGCTCTGATCCCTATTGAATATTATTATGTTTCATGGTTTCAGCGCAACTTTTGAGTCCCTTTCTATGCAAATTGGAAGGTTTCTAGTTTAAAGATGTTCAAAGTAGTGAACTAACATCAAATGTCATGGAATATGGCCGCCATATGGCCGCCTAATATGGCCTTGATTCGTCTCGCGCCGGTGCCGTTCAGTCGCCAGGTTGGACAAGCAATGGAGTGAGAAGATGTTTGAGTTCATCAGAACTACTGCAGTGCATTGGGTTCGAAGCTGAGTTGGATGCATGGTTTTGCAATGTTTTTATTAACATCTGCAGACAGCAAGAAAGTATAAGAAAGATAAGAAAGTCAGTTCAAGATAGTTAGTTAGTTCTAGTATCATCTAGTCAATCTATTTCAAATCTATGTCAAATCTATAGTCAAATCTAGTCTATAGATGTGTAAACATGATGTGTATTCAGATTCGGATTTGGAATTGATGAGTTGCTGACCCAAGGCCAGGCCAGTCATCCTGTACGCTTACCAGACAGGTGCAAATTTGAATGGCTACTGTCGTACAGTCGTACTTCTGCAGACCGAATCTACACGACCCAAACAGTGACCGCATAAATTGGAGAAATGTCAAAAATGTCAAACTCCTGACTATTTCATAGTG